AACAGTCGTGGCATCTTCGCAAAGCGCACTTTGCTCACAAGGAGGAACTCTGAACCATGTAAAAGTTTGGCACGCTCCTGGGACTGTTGAAAGTGAGTAACTAGTGCTTTTGCCGACCAACCTACCTCATAAGAAAGGGATTATACCATCAGTTTATCGTAGGATGTAACTTCAATTCCTTCTGGGAGGGGCGTACATATGTAGAGTCATGGACCGACATATTCAGAAAATATTACGCGCGGCTGCAAAATGGCCAGTTTCAAGGAGCTGCTGTGATTTACAGTAGCTCAAGCAAGATCGCGCACCTAATTCACTAAAACACTCGTCGTCACTGCGCCATAATTGCCATCGCATGTGTAATATAATAGAATATAATTCACCGATAAAGCTGTTCGCTTACGTGACAAGGTCTCTACTCTTAAAAAAGGCTAATTTTGAATCTTCTGTAGACCCATACCTCCCTGTTATTGCACCTTCATGTAACTCAGGAGAATATTACTCAAACCAGCTCCACTTTCGCTAGTACTCCCTGACCACGGCGAAGCATCCGTTGTTCCGAGTTCAAAAATTTACGACCCACTCCCTTTTCAAAGAGCCACCCCACTATCAACCTTAGGAGATACTCCCATATGACCCCCTCACCCTCATCCCCAACATGGTTTTTAAAGTAACTGAACCCACTAACACTCGACACGCTCCAACTCCTCCCCTTTTCCCTCCGAAAGTTGCACTCGTCCAAATGCCTACCCTCCTCCTCCGTCTAGACCTTTCCTGCAACACGGCCACCCAACCTCCACCTTCTAAGAAATCTTAAACACGATCTCCCCTTCGCCATCACCACCACACAACAACCATAATCCCGCTTCCCAGATGACCCAGGTACGGCCTGCCTCTGTTGGGAAACTGCATAAAGGTGGTTAATCCTGCACTGGCTTCACTACTAGTATCCTAAGTTCCTCTCGCTTTCCACTACTGGAATGGTTCGGAAAAAAATGACGATTCCGAATTTTTTCAAAAAAATATCGGATTACCTGGAGTGCGAATTCCTTGTTCTCACGGTAGAGGTTGATATTGACTCGTTTTCCTGAAAAATTCGAATTCTACCAGGCTAGAACGAACCAGTTATGAGCCAGTATCAGATCCATGTTCAACAAGAACCACAATTTCACTCACCTGTGGGTAGGGCGGAGATGTCAAGACGCTTTCCGGGTTTCAGCTCAGCTACCGCCATGTACGGGTTGGGGAAAATTCGACCACCATAGTGGAACAGGCGCAGTTTTACCAAGTCGCCTCGAATCGAGACGTGGTCGATCTGGAAACAGAATTTCGCTTATTGATTTCATTGATTCTACTTAGTAATGATTGGTTATTCTGGTCGCCCATAGCGTTACAGTGAAATGGTTGCTGCGATTGCTTCATCCAACTCAAATCCTACCCTAAGCAGATGGAGAATAGCAAGGAAAGCTTTCTCATCAACAATCCACTAGTCTTTTCCTTGGCTATCAAGCTTCCTAACAAGCTCCTCCTGTGGATGCGAAGTGCATGGCTATTCCCTGTGGGACAGTTACTACCTTCAAAACTTACTCCATCAAGTGGTTGTCTTTGTTCGAAAGTGCCGACTTCAACGCGGTTGGCGAACACCTGAAAAATAAATTTCAATATTCCAGACAAATCTCAGTCAACAGAAGCGTGAATGATAATTTTGAATGTTATTGAAGGGATATGATTTAGTTTTTCAGCTATCCATGAATGGAGATGGGAGTTCCGATTGACGAAAGTCGTCTTTTAATCCGATTTCCGCCTGCATCCCGTCACTCATGTTCGAATTTCTGGAACGTTTTTGAACTGCTCAATTCCTATCAATTTATTCATGGCTTCTTCTCTTTTGGTGGCATCCCCTTTTGGACCATCAAAATTTGCTCAAAAATGCAGACCATTTCTTTCTCATGGGTCAATCGATTAGCTAAATGATCGATAAATCGACCAACACTCACGGGCACTATTTTTAACTCACCTGGAATTTGCCTTCAAGGATTCGAACTCGTAGATCGAATTCTTGACCGGCTTTGAAGGGATTTGAGATACGTTGCTCGTTCTCAGACCAGTTTCCGTCTTTGAATGTGTTGTAGACAAATTTTCCGGAAAAGATTCCTGAATTTTGTCCGATCAATAAATCCAATCCACTCAGCTCGCAGAAAGACTCAATCACTAACCTTCGTCAAATCGAATCGAAAAGTGCAATGGAAGATCGGCGTCTTTAGCGGCACCTTTGTGGAAGTTAAAATCGATTCTGAAATTGGAAATTTGGGCCAATAACAAGTTCTAATGGTGATAGTGATACGCCAATGCTACCAGCTTTCGCCTGGCATCGCCAACACAGTTTGTGAGGGCAGCTTTTTTGACAGTACCCACCTTGTCGGTTTATCACTAAGAGTTCCAACGGCGTGGATAGTCTGTCCAACTGTGAATGCCTCACTGACACGCGTTTTGAACGGGAGCCGCTGAAAACTTCGAAAATTACTCGAATATTCTGACGAAGTAAACAGTTGACAGTAGAAACTCAAGTGCTTCAATATTGTCCTCTATCTCTCCTTTCAAAAATCCCGACGTCCTTAAAGGCAGGGGACACGATGGATGAGGGGCGGAGCGATTTTCGTGACGTCATTGAGCGTGATTGATGGAAGGAGCCGATTGGCCTGGTCCATTAAAAACGTCTTCAACCCGCTCCACCCTTCGGCAACCGTGTTCGCTGCCTTTAGATTTTACTTACGTAGTCCATCTCCCCGATGTATTTCCGATAGTTCTTCTCCTTGGCATCTGTTGCACTGGTATCCGTGCCGAGTGACTCATCCTTTGCTACTGCATACGCTATCAGACATAGCAACACTAACCCTAAAGATCAGTGATACCTCACAATTACTTGATTGTCAAATACCGTATCATCGGTTGAGATTGGCACGATAGCACTCACCCTTCATCGTGGCTTATCTGATGTTGTCTGGAAAATGTAGCATAAATTTCGATGAATGACACGAAAACAGCGATAATCGATATATCGATCGATTCCATCAAAGAAAAGACAAAGCAGTCAAAAGATTGAACAAAAAGTGAAACCTTTGTGAGAATAAGATCATCCACTCACCAAGAGGAAATACTATTGAATCGCTAACCACATGTAAGTTCAAAGGAGTGAGATAATTTGTTGTTTGGGTAAGGATACGGGCCCCGGCACCGAAACAGAAGTCCAAACCGACTTCTACCTAAGCAACATGACCAGAGCTTCAGGAATAGAGCTCGATCCCTTTGGTAAGACCCCAACCAAGAATACTTTTTTCCCAATAAACGACCCTCTCGAAATGGCGAATAATGTGATCCAAGTATCTTATCAGTTAGAATGCAGGGCTCTTGCAGAAAACCCCGTGAATAGTTGTCAAGTGAAACTCCATGAAACTCGGCCCTGGGAGCTCGTTCTTCCTACAAATTGCGCAGCTAGCGCAGCCAATGGGATCCCTTTTGCCCTTTTCCTGATCTTTAGCCCCCAACCCTCCTAGTCCAAGTATCCTGGCCAAACGTGGAACAAAATCCGTAGAGGGAATTAAGATCATCTTCCGCTTCCCGGGTTCAGCGAGCACTCACCATAGCGGCTGATTTCCTTTACCCGCTAACACTATCCCTTCTATTTTTTTCTCGTGGGAATTTACCCCTTCTTCCTACATTCATGACAAACACACCGGATCGAAAAGGAGAAGACTGAGGAGGACGAAACGAGAGTGGAAATACTTGTCATACCTCGCACCACCCTTCCCTCCCACCCCTATGGGACATTGCGAACCTCGTACCCATGTGGGATTCCCCACATCGTTCCCTAGACTCTCTCCCTCTGGTAAAAAGTCAGTTGTTCAATGATGGCACACGGGTACGGCAATACTGTTGGTGCGGTTTGATAATAGACAAATTCTTCCCAAATCCTTAGACGAAAATAAGCATGGATTGACGATGCGCTCGCGACTTAGGAAAGAAATTTGAAAATAGGGCTTGACAGCTTGACCCACCTGTGCCACACTGGTTCACTGCGTAAGCTTGAATGCGTGAGTGAAAGCAGCTAATGGCCTGATCGGGTTGAGATGTTTCGTAGAGGGTTGGCTAGTAACGTGGCCGTCTCGTCAGAGATTCGAAGGAACAGCTGGGTTTCCTTAATCCTCAAAAGGTATGCTAAGGGACCTCTGCTCAAGTCTCTTAACGAATGAAACAAAGCTACTGTTTCCCTTGGCCCGGGTTTTTCCGCCCCGAAAAGCGGTAACCAACCACCACAAGAGACAAGCCGACGACGTTTCCGTCAGTAGAAAAACGATGAGAGAAAGACCAAGCATCGGCGTTTCGCATGATAGCATGGCATTGCTGGGATGGGACTCGGGTGGCGGTCGGGGGTGGAGAGACGAGATGAGAGGCGATGTTTGTGTGCGATGTGTATATGTGTATGTGGGGGCTGGCTGGGGGCTTCGGCCAGGCGTCTGTTGGGCTTCGAGGATTTATCACCTCCAATTCTCAAACATCGCCATTTATCAAAGTTTAGCCTATCAACACACACTCACACACACCCGATTGCACCATCACAGCAGTCAGCCCGGGACCCAGCGCCAGCCGGCGTGCCCTGTTGAATTCACGATAATATGTACGAAATCTGAAGGACAACAGATGCTGTTCGTAGATCAGGGCGAGGATTTTACGAGACTTCGCACATGCGACGCGTAAACATAAACACCCGAATCCTGCGAATTAGCCTCGGAGGTGATCGTGTATCCATTGATTCAGTAACGGTCAGTTCTGAGCCCGACGTAATCGTCTGGTGCTCGCACAAGGCTTTCTCGTCCCCTTTTTTTGCCGAAAATTGCCTAAAAAATTTGATGAATGGAAATTTCTCAAAGTTCAGAAGGTCATAATCGATTCAATAAGGGTTGCGTTTGGCGTTGACGTTCTGATACACTGATCGCCACTGAGAAAAACTGAACGCGAGTCCAATGTAACAACTCCAGCGAGAGAGAAAGCACTGGCTCAATATCAAGGGCATACCCGACAGCAACAACAGCAGTAATCATTAAATATATAGCAAGGGGACGAAAATGGAAGTGGCCCAAAATAATGAAAAGGACTGAACGTAAGATCGGTCGAGGGGAGACCTTAAAGCAGAGTCAAAAAATTAATCCAAGCATGCGACATAAAAATGAGAGCATCTGTGAAAAGGTTACAATCTCGAAAAAGGTTTCAGTCTCGCTACGAAAATCCTTACAAACGTTTTTGTGGTGGACAAATCATGATTCAGAAAGCATCTTAAATCACGAGACACCGCCCTCCATACTGAGTAACACCCCTCGACCAGGCGGAGCTTGAGCGCTACGGCTGTCTCCGACTTCTTCCTAGAACCTCAGTTTTCGTTTGCTAGTGATCCTTTCAATGGCCAACAACGAGATTATAAGGTGAAGGGCTTCGTTAAAGATCGCTCTGAATAGATGAAAACGAGAAGACAATGGAACAAGTGCGCTGAAATTTTTCCCATTCTGAATAAATCATGCCCAGACAAAGACCTTCACCAACGCCTCCCCTACATCCAAAAACGTCTGACGGCGCATGAGACCCCCAGAAACCAATCTTTGGATGTATGTTCTTGTACTCAAAATGAAATTTTGAAGCTAAAACTAAGAATTCTGAAGGTAAAATGTGATTCAGGGGTATTACGAGGTAACACGAGAAACATCCATAATAATTCCACACGCTCCAGGATTTCTGCTGCTGAGGCTATTTTCTGGCCTGTGTGAAGTTTTTCTCCATAACGATGTTCAGGTTCCACGCGGTGCCGGCACTTCTGTGACGCCATCTATCCCCTCAAGATGATCAGCCCCCTAGATTAACGCGTTTCGATAATGTCGGTAGACATAAATGAAGCAAACGGAACACGATTGGTAGAACTCTTGCCTGTGCATCAATAGGCAGTGAACGCCGTGTCGAAGGCACACCCCACAGCACCTACACACGAGCATGAAAGCAGGGATGCAAAAGAATCACCAATCAAGAAAGAGTCGGTCGAAAGCCATAAGAATAACAGTTTACCCATTTTTTGTAATTCTGCTGTGCTAAGAAATGAGAGCACTGAAGTGCAAAGGGAGAGAGGCTAGCGAAAAGCACCAGCATATTGAGAGGGCGCTAGACCATCGCAGTCGTTGAGGCGAGCAAAAATGGAAGCCTTGAGACTCACTCATGATAAGACCCGAGCGCCCTCATTGCGCACTTTCGAGCCGGCAGATCAGAACATTTCTGACTGTACTGGGCAGCGCTATCCTAGGCACGAAGGAGATTCATCCACCCAAGCTCTTTGTGTGGCGTGCCTTTAGTTCATTGCTTACTCTCAAACTCAAACGGAGCCATTTACATGATCTATATGATGTCCCAACCAGTTACACGAGTGACGAATTGGGAATGCGCCACGCACTTTTACCCCCGTTCAGATTCGTAGTGATATGTGGAAGCGTAAGTGAGCAAAACTATGACTTGTTAATGACACTGTCAAAATAAGTACAAACAATAATTCGACCTTGCAAAAACGCTTCACGAACCAGCTGTTAGACAGGATCCGATCTAGGGACTGCACATAACGCCACCCAGGGCCTACCTATACTTATCAATAGGGAAAAAAGAGCAATGATCGAAGAAAACAATTAGTGCTGACCAATACATTCAATTCACTTTCAGGATACGCCACGCATTCGACATTCGTCAGAAATATTGGTGGGATAGGGATGTGCTTAAACCCATGCAGTGAGCTGCAGTGACGAGATAGTGCATTGCAATTCTGTTTATCCACTCGTAGCAACACTACTTTACCGACCCGGAATGAGCTGGTCGGAATTCGGTCCGTACCCGATCCCCGCGTATATGGCAGAGGGCGCCGCTTGCTACTACACCACGTTGAGGATATTGTTCAAAATAGAACGTAATCACAAAACTCATAGAAATTAGGCCCACGATTGAGGAATCGGAAATCGGAAATCGGAACTGAACCGATGAGACGCTTTGTGGGACTTTGTTAGGTATCTGAGCGAATTGTAAGCAACCTTTCAATATTGTTAGCTGAGAAAATTAACACTGATAAGATATAGCAGCCAAGATATACGGTAGCACAACAGAAAACGAGTCCAAATGAACCGGTGGAGGGCTATAAGTCAGCTAAGATCCAGTTGTAATCCACAGATGACTCAATCGCCATGGTGACTCACCAGCACATTGCTGTCGGCCATCTGATGAGGTGATAGCAGCTATCACCACCATCAGCGACAGCTCATCGATTCCGCTATAAATTCCAAAATCCGCAGGTGCAGAAATCGATGACTGCTGATGTTCATGGAAAAGATCCAGGGAAAAAGAAATCAAGGCCCGAGCAGAAAGTTCAACTCAATGTCCCCGCTATCCCTTCCTGTTCCACTTGTCGTCCTTGACGTCGACACCATTGAGAAAATCATTGAATTACCCATCGACAAAACGGCAGAATCGATCGCTGCGCAATAGTGGTTCCGTTGAAGCCGTGGGAAAACAACCTGAGAAGGGCGGCTCTACAGAACCGCCAAAGTGCGCTGTTCTGTTCCTCTTTTTGCCGATCCAGTGACCTCCTCCAAGGAAGCCTTAAGAGCCATATAGTGTTAATGTACGCTTCGAATCAATGCTCTCACCTCCCCCCCCCGTTGCCATTCTGTCGTAAAACGAGAGCATTTTATCCACGGGTCATGGTGCCTGGTGCTGAAAACCGGTCTCCGGACATCTGTCAACCGTGAGGCTAGGCAATTCAGCGTTTTGTTGTGCTGTCTGGGAGCTCTCACACAAGCGCACTATTACAGAATCTCCGCTTTCTTTACCTCCTTTAAAAAGGCTTAGTCCCACTACCACAAAGAACGTCTGCTTTTCCTTCTACACTCTCACCCCCTGGTTGACAGAAGCCTTGTAACCCTGGTAGAGCAAGCGGATCGGCATCACTCTGAAAAACACTTTAACCGGGTTGCTAACCTGATGCCATCCAACAGAGCTTGACTTCTACATGCGCACCCTGGGTCCTGTTGAACGGAGACTATAGAGCTGACTAAGCCCAAGACAAGGCCCCATTCTTTCCAACATGAGAACTCCTAGATCCGGAACACTGCTGTACGAGCTTGGCCGCAGATCTTATCACCTCAAGGCTCGAGATAAAAATTGCGGATTTGATCTCGCTTTTGGGATGGATAATTCGCTTTAAAGCAAGCGCTACTCCAGGACGGAACTAATGCGGGAAGTGGATCCAATTGGTGCACCTTCAGCTATTTTTTCCTGCTAAAAACTTCTGGAAGTTTAGCCCTCTTCCGTGGCCAGCTCCTAAAACGAGCTCTGTCTAAACCTCTCTTACCTTTACCCTTACCTTTTTACCCTTACCTTTATCCTTACCCTTACCCTTTACCTTTTTCTTTTTACCAGGTTCGATTTCAAGTGAGACACGGCAACTTAGATCTACGCTCAAACATCTAGACATCCAAGATAACCTCTTAGGCCTGGAAGGGCAGATCAGGGCCACTTACCAGGATCAAGCTTAATGAGCTTCATCAAAACATCGCAAGATGATGAAGCAGACAGTGCAAGTGTTCCGCGTTCGCGAAACCATGCCGCACTTTGCCGACATGCCGCATTGTTGTCATCAACACACACACACAGCACACCAACGACTGCAACATGTGGTCAACACATGTTGTCCATGTGTTCTTTGAAAGGTCGACAACGGCAAGAAAAGCAGAGCTATCGAGGAAAAATTAGCCGAATGTTTACGAGAGGCTGATGGGATCCCAGGCTTGATTCGACGGACGCCTAGCCAAACCCGCACTTTTGTAGCATCCACCCGCGACCGTATCTGGCCAGTTGCCAAGAAATAATGCCCTTGAAGGAACAATGAATAATCCAAACTGGCACCAGCTTAGTATGAACAGTGCTCGCCGGAGGTGGTGTAATGGCAAGTGGCGTTACTTCCCATGGCATGGTCCGCGGGGTTATTCTCGGATCGAATCCACCTCATGACAAGCAAGCCCTGCACCCCACTGGTTGAAAGAATTTTCGTAGCCAAGTTGCCCGGGAGGATTAAGACACTGAAATTTACATCGGCTAGCTCCCCTCAAATCATTGCATGGAGCAAACCGCATTCATGTACTATAACGATTCTGAGCAAAGGTAGAATGCGTGGCGTATCCAGAAAAGTGACTTGAACGCCAGATTCTTTTCTCGATGACTACACATGAAATCGAAGAACGCTCAGTTATGAACAGACTTAAAGGAAGAAAAGACTCGAGCTGATTTCGCTCTGAAACAAAGTAGACCAGATCCTGACTTCAGCCATCGATCGATCAATACGGCGAAACCCGTTTCCGAATGCTTTCTATGAACCGATCGATAATTTGAAACTCGTTCGAAATAGAAGAAGTTCTATCAAAAGAGAAACATGAGGCCGATGATCATCCATAGCCCCCCAGACTAGCCAAGAAAGATGTCAGTGAAGATGTATCGATTGGATCTTCCAGAGACTAATCAATAAAATGAATCGATAAAATGTTGATCTAACTCTGAATCACTTTTGGCTGAACGGATTTTATTTATTATATTACAAAGACATTTATATCCGCATGCAATATGTATTCAATAGAGTTGAGAAGATAGTTACACACGAAGAAAAAAGAATGGATCTCAAAAAAATCAATAAAACGTGCAATTGACACTTATTATCACATTGATCAATCAATAACTTGTCACGGGTATATTAGTAGAGCTTCCTGAGCAAATAATTTATGATGAGTTAATCACATGCGCAATCAGTTGGATCAATCGAGATCAAACCTAATGACGTCATCGGTGCTTATAAGGTATACTGTAACTGTTGAGGCTCACACAGCCCTCACAAACGGTAGATGGACAGCAGTGAGAGCGCTAGGCTGGTCAACACACACAGTCCGCTCGCATGATCGGGGTCTTCATCGCTGAAATGGCGGCCATTAATGGGTAAAAATGTGGCCGAACGACAGCGAGCGCCACTGCCGCCCGAACAAGATTGCCCAACATGACAGTTAAAGACCCACTCAACAAAAAAACCTTCCGGATTGAAAATTAACTACCGATATTTTGAGGAGACGGGCATTCACATAGTCGCCGTTCTACCCACACTGACCTATCAATCGTAAAAAATTCCAATTACGGGTCGTGCGCGTGGCTTAACCCAAAAAAGAGGCACCACGTTGAGACTGGCCCAGGTTCTCAGGTTTTGTGACACAGCAGCGCCTCGCGCGCGCCAAATTTCGCGGCGATGAGTCCGATGTGTCAGATCGATACAAATTTCCCCCTCATCTGCGCTCTGGCAAATTAGTAAACTATGAATGCTATTTGATGGTTGTTAGAGCCCCTTCTTCTACGCCCAGCTCCTAGCTTTTCGTTACAGGACCGACTGCTGGAACTCTCCGCAATGATCCTGCCGCGGCGAGGCGGTACGCAGGCGGGCAAGGGACAAGATCGGGCTCACCAGCGAATACAACAGACATAGACCATTAGTAGGCTAGAGAGCGCAGGCATAACTATCCGAACGGTCCAGGCCAAAAACCGTGAATTCTCACATTTCGAAAATTTCACAATCACTATAAAGAACACACTCCAAAGCGCCGGCTGTGCTCAGTTCAAGAAATTTTCAAACCCCTTCCCTTCAAAGGGGTCGACCAAAATCCCACCACCACCACCATGAGGCCGATGTCAGACTTTGCGAATCGCGCGATTCGCTAGCGTCCGCGGTCGCGTTGCGGTACCAGCCAATTGAGTGATTCACTGGCCGCGACGCGACCGCAGACGCTAGCGAATCGCGCGATTCGCAAAGTCTGACATCGGCCTAGAATTCGAGGTTACCCCATACAACACCCAAGAAGCGAAATATTGTTATGTCCAAGTTGAATCTAATGTTCCGAGAAAGTCATCAAAAAAACTTCTTCGAAAATGACTCCCTCTTCTCTCCAGTGCAACACAGCCCCTCTGAAAACCTCGAATACGACCCCGTTGTTGAGGCATGGTCAAGCGGACGGTTTATACTGCTGCGAAAATGGTTACTCAATAACCTCCAGCCTGACTCGAGATGTTAAAAGGCTGACTTTATAAGGAGTTGAATGAAAACGCTGGACTCAATGAGATGAAAACTTGCCAAAATCAAAAAAAAATGTCATCATGTTCTTATTTATGAGCTCTCTCAATCACAAACGTTTGCACGACAAATATTTAAGGAGTCGACCACGACAAGAATGAGAAGACCAAAAAATCGCGTTCGATTTGGCAACAATCGAAGAACTAGATGGACTGCTAGACGTTTAAAATTCCCGTCGTACATCTGTCACAATTGTAGGCGCTTAACTTGCTTTCCAGAGTGTTACCACTCCTGGACTTTTCACATCTGACAAATACTTTTCACTCTTCCACCGCATTCCTATTCTGTTGATCGTTTTGTCTCTATTCCGAATTCGATCGCTTTAATCCGATTTTTTAAATGCGTCGCCTGATTTGTGGCGCACCAAGGCGCACTACTTTCCATGCGCTCCCTTGTTCCCGCCCGACCTACACGACCGTCCACAGTGTACTTGTAAGTTTTGTTTCTCTTCCACTCCATTTGCAATCACTTTTGTCCACTGTTCATGGTCCAGATGGGAATATGTATGAATATCAGACTACAACGTGTACATAAAAATGCATCGGATCTTCTCAGAGGCTGTAAATGGAGAGACTGAGTTTTATTTAATGCTTAACGCCTCAAGCAACCCGGTTTTCAATCAAAACACTCGAGCTAATCCGGAAAACTGCGTAATTTTGAAGAGACCTTGAGAAAACGCCGAAAATCGAGGAGTCATTCGACCTCTGCGAGGGATTACACACACGATCGTATAAAAGCTGGATAGGTGGCTTTGGAAGGTATCAGTGATGTCTCGCAGCCTCGCAGGATTTTCAGTTGTCGCCTCGGCTGCGCTCATCTTCTTAGCCGTGACGGCGCTCAGGCTACATCGTCATTGACATCAACAACTTCTATGGCGACTCTCCTTCAGAACATCGAAGATTTCAAGGTAAAACTTCAACATTTACGAGTTCCAGATTTAGCCCTGTAAACAACGCTAACTTTCTTTCCATTGCAGGGATTCGCGAATGACGCCTGGGCGAAGATGATTCTAACCAACGAAGGGGCCAGATTCGCCCGTCAGACATACTATTCCAGCAGTGGAGTAAACAACGGCCAGATAGTAGGACCACCAGCGAGTGAGTGCAAGTGCGGAGCTCAGCCGAACAGCTGCCCACCAGGACCTCCAGGACCACCTGGAGAGCCAGGAGAGGGTGGTAGCGATGGAGAAAACGGACAACATGGTACGCCTGGTGTAAACGGCATCAGTAGCAGTGGAGCAGGGACCGGATACGACACACCCGAGTGCATAACCTGTCCACCTGGGACCGCGTAAAGGGGCCACCCGGACCGACGGCCCATCTGCGGTCCACCAGGTTTCTGATGGCAACCAGTAGCGACGACGAGGCTGGATATGTTTCAGGCCCAGGAGGAACAGGTCCTATCGGAGATCAAGGACAAGCGGGAGCACCAGGTATACCTGGTCAACAAGGGCTGCCTGGACAGAACGGTAAACGCGGAACTGGACGCTCAGGACCACCTGGACAACCAGGACCACCGGGACAATATGGTCAACCTGGACAGAATGGTTATGCCGGGAACGATGGTGCTCCTGGACAACAGGGATCTGTGGGACCAGAAGGAAATGCTGGCAACCCCAGGTTCAGCCGGGAATCCCTGGGCCATACATTTGGCTCGAGGTCGGTGATCCGTGGAGAGATGCCGCGATTGTCATCTGTCCTCCGAGGATGGGAGCATACGGTCCGCCAGCTTTTGGCCTTGTGGACAGTGGTGACCAAAATGGCTACCGGAAACTTCATTGATAATTCAACCCTGGACTAATTATTTGTGCTATGAATAAATATTGCCTTGGACGTGTTATCTGTAGTCGGGTTGAAAGTGCCGTTGTCGAGCACGCCGTACACAATTTCTCACTGTTGAGTCACCCCTACGATTAGTGGACCAAGCCCAAACACATTCACTCTGGCACGTTTTTGAACCATCAAGAGATCACCAAACCAATAACTTTTCATGATCTGTTTGAATTCTTTTAGAACATTCACGTAGCTCACCGCATGGTGTCAGTAAAGCTCTCTCCACATCCTTAGTTAGCCGCTATCATGAAAAAAAACCGACTTACAGACTAAACTTAAAGGCACCTGCCCCCATAATTTCTTAGAATGCCAAGCTACTGGAAAGTTTTGCCTACATTAATGCAGGTGATATTTGTCAACACAGCAGAGGAACGCGGCTTTGAACAGTACATTCCGGCGCAACCCTAACCTGCTCCACACGCCTCTAACACTCAACCCGCTTGGCCGCCTTTCCTCTACATTTCTCTCCACTCACCTTTCGATCGGAGTCTCGTCTTCACACATTTATTCACTGAAGACTCATACAATGACCATATCAAAACAAGACATGTGATAACGGATTAAGCTGCATTGTCATTCCATAAAGGAGCCATTAGTCAATTCGGGGTTAATTTTTTTGAAATTTATTAAGAATTGTAATTCTGGTACGACTGGTCGATTTCATCTGTCTCGTTTGTCAGATTGGATTTGGTTTTTAAAGTTGCTGATGTTTTCCCTTGAGATGGCAATTTTCCCCAAAGTGTAATGTGTTTCTTTTTCCGATGTTTGTGTTTCTCTGCACAAAGGTGGCGTGGCACGTGGCACACCTTTGTGACATTTCAATAAATAAATATAAATAAATGAATAAGTGCTTCAAGGCGTTTTCGGTAGGCTTCTTTTCGCGTAGCCGTGATCCCACAACTCCTATCTGTGCCGAAGTTCTATACCGCATACCCAACACTCACGTTAAAATGTCCCCATAAATATCCCTGCGTGGTGAATGAAAGATCCGATCCGAACGAGGTGACGAAGATCCTGTGCGAACCTTCACGAGATCAGTCCCAGCGAGCGACGGTGATCCGTCAATCCGATTAAGATTCGATCACGAAAACTCGGGACTTAGCCCAAATGCTAACCTGCTACTGCACAGAAAATGGTTGCAGTTTACCAAAACGATCACTCTTCAATAATAATTTGGCTAAGAGAGGGTTTGAGGAGGCACTCGTGAACATATTAATGCTCCTGGAACCGCCAGCTGACTCTGAACAAGTGAAACTTGAGCATTTCTCCAGAGGCATGCAATAGCGCTCTCAGAACTTAAAGGCAGTGATCCCGATGACTGTAGGGTGTGCGGTTTCAATGACTCATTGTCAGTGAACTTCATTCGTTTAGGGAAACCAGGCGGTGGTCCCAATCTCACGCACCTCCAGCGCGGTGAGAGCTCCAGTTCATGACGATCGATGACGTCATCGAAACCGCATCGCCCCTCGATCATTGTGTCCACTGCCTTTAAGTTCTAGAAACTTCTGCTCGCCAGTCGAAGGAACGATCTAATCTAGTTATCTCAACCCCTTCTCAAAACTTTCCAAGATGAAATCATCTCAAAATTGCTTTATGCTTCTCGACAGACTCAGAGAGAAGACTTGTTAATCTCAGTGAGAACATAAACCAAACACCTCACCGCGCAGCCGCTAAGCTCCCGAACAATCCAATGAATCCCTACAGCGACGCCCTATCATAGCCATGCTATCGAGTTTTATGCGCTGAGCGTCGCGCTCGAAGTCCTGGAGGAAAAAACTTGCATAGCCATATATGGGATATATAAGAGACCCACAAACAGCTCAAGAGGGAGCGAAATGTCCGCAAAGACCTTCGTCACGATCGCATCCGGCGCCAGCGGGATAGCTATCGCCTCCCCCCCCCTTTCTCCCCGCGGCAGCTATGATTTGTTTCGGCCTACTCCTTAGCGACATCAACTCGTTCTACGACGATGCAGTCACAGACTTGGGCGAGTTCAAGGTTAGTTTGAAAGGCCAAATGTGGCCAAAATCTCCACAAACCCATCTGATTTAGGAATTCGCGGACGACGCCTGGAACACGATGATTAGAACAGCAAGCGGACAGTCTCAACTCGAAAGTTTGAGCCATTTTATGATGATGTACGCCAGAGAAAAAAAGAGGCGCGGCGGCTCCTGCAACTGTGGAGCGCAGCCAAACAACTGTCCCGTGGGACAACCCGGACCCCCTGGAGAGAACGGAGCACCCGGAGAGGATGGACCTCCTGGTCAACCTGCTCCTCACGGAAACAAAGGCATCGGAATGGTTGGAATGCCAAACGAACCCGTTGGGTGAGTTAATTCAGCTTTCCAAGGGCTTTATCTTCCTGTGCAGAATTTGTGCACAAATTCCTTTTTTCAGATGTATCCAGTGCCCACCCGGCCCAGCAGGACCACCAGGACCAGATGGACTCATCGGAGAAGCTGGTCCCGACGGTCAAAACGGTGCCGATGGGCCACCAGGACCTAACGGAAATCCTGGAATCTCAGGCGAGCCAGGAGATGCTGGCGAACGAGGAGAACCAGGAGCACCCGGGACTTCCAGGAGCTGACGGATCAAAGGGAACAAGAGGCAAAGGAGCTCCTGGAGCACCCGGAGCACCAGGAATGCTGGGAGTTGCAGGAGATGCCGGAGCCGCAGGAGAGAATGGAAACGATGGAGCACCAGGACAACCGGGCATCGCTGGGGCTCCAGGCAAAGACGGTGAGAAAGGTGGTGATGGAACACCCGGCGGAGATGGACCACCCGGTCTTCCAGGAGGTGACGCCTCGTACTGCCCCTGCCCACGCAGGACCAGCGACATTCTTGTCCAGGCATCGCAGACAAAAGTCAAAGAACAGGGATACTGAACAGCTCACCAGCAAATTGTATGAGAGAAATAAATTAATTATACTTAATGATACCTATTGATAATCATGTATACCTGGACACTGCAGAAATTCCCTTCGTTTCGTTCACCATCAATTTAAATATGGACGGGTAAAGACTGAACTGTACCAAGTACTGTTATCGATGATATCGAGTACGAGAAAAGAAATATTTCACACGTTCCGCTGTTCGGCATCGTTCTCCATAAACTACGCGTGATTCCACAAAAACATAAAATTTCTACAAATAAGAAATACAAGAACACTCTGGAGTAAGCCATGCATTCGGCCTGCTTGTAAGAACTCAAAAACGATTCTCGTAAGTCATACCTAGTATACATGAAAAAAAGCAAGTAGCTGCCTAGCAAACTCCGCTGTTCTACACCGGTTCCAAACTAGCTCCTCCATTGCTTATTTATCGCTATGGGCAGGGGTCTCAACAAAGGGGCGTGTCTTAACAGGATGGGGTTTATTACCACACATGCTGCTCAACTATGGAGCTTCTCGCACTGCTAGATTCAGAAAACAATACTGCAATCTGACACCCGACCCTCAAAACCCGTCCTGTGAAACAATGGTTGAAAAAGTTGCAAAATTACCACAAAATCTTATAGATAAGAACGGTCGGAGAGCTGATAAGAACTGTTACATTAGAAAAGTCAAAGCGGAAGTACGGTAGTTGGGATATGTGAGTCGGGTGGGTACACCGATTTTTCGAATACGGTATTCACAAACTGTGCGGGGGACGCTATAAGGTGGAGATTGATAGCCTCTCCCTACCCCAGAAAATTGCATTTGAGGGGGGATAGGAAAAGCAACAATAGTGATTCTCGATTCTTACAGCGTTTTATGACGTCACAGCAGTCTCCACCAGTCCGCACGTACATTTCCCACCTACCGTATTCAAAAAATCAACGGCCCACCCAACTAACATAGCCCCGGTAATTTATTGTTATTATTTGCTTTGCCAGTGAGAAAAACTGGAAAACAGAAAAAGTCAGTGTATAAACTACATGGTTACTTATGGTTGGTTTTTTTTATACCTGCTTTTTCCTATTCACCCTCATACCTAAATTATACCGCTCTTATCTCTAAGATTTGTGGGTCCCAGTACTACTATTTGAATGTAGGAAAGTGAACGTACTGCTCGCCGTGCTCCTCGTCATCGTAGTCCCTGTACTTGGCCCGATCCTGTAATACATCCACTTCAGTTCGCCAAAAAAAATGACTCTTGAGGATGGTACTAAAGGAGATTCATTCTGGCGATACTAAAGGTAAAAGGACTGAAATTTTGCAAGATATGGGGCGGCATTGTGATGGCAATACGCTGAGAGGGACTGAGCCTCAAGCATGGGAAAAGAGAAGAGCATGAGGAGCCGGTGCGAGAGAATACTTCCCTTAGGTTCCTGTCTCTTCCTTGGCTTAGCCCTACCGATCTCCCCTAGAATGCCCCGTATATTGCGATAGTGCCTTGAAAATTCACCACTGCTTTCCAAATAAAAGGAAACAAGCGCTTGTAGGTACCTGGTCATCCTCGCCTCTTGGCGTCTTTTTCAAAGGAACAAAACAGAAACAGTTTAACGACCTTTTCGTCCTCGTCATCCTCGTCGTCGTCATTGTTCACTTTCTTAGCTTCTTTTATTGTCCTTGGTTGTTTTCGTTGCCTTCCCTTTGGTTTCCTTCTTCATCGAAGTGACAACTTCGTCGGAATCGCCATCGTCAAGCTTCTTCTCCTTAGAAGGCTTCACCTACAAAATAAGGCCAGAATTGAATTTCAGTATCTGTGAAACTTTAATGAGCTCAGTTTAAGCGGCAAGCTGAGCTCAATCGATCGATAACATTAAAAAGGGAAGTCCACAAAAAGCAAGTTGGAACTAACTGGGGCTCTGTTACCCTATTAGGGCGCACATGATGAGTAAAGGGAACCAACCGGATCAACCTGAGTGATCCTATCCAGTACAGGCAGAAAAAAGGCGAGTCGTATTTTCCTTAAAATCAGCAGGACTTACCCCGGCATCAGTGCGTCAATTGCTGCAATGTGCTTCGTAGTACAAGTGTCCTGTGCGTCTGCACCCTCTTACCGAGATAGTGATATAATTCAAATTATAGCGTACAAGCTATGAACAAAGCTGCATAAACGAATTGAAGGCTGTGAGCCATTTAAAGCTGTGTAAAAAGTTGAGCCCCAAGAAACAACAATTAGAGTTGCCGTCAAGATGAGAGGGTTCAGACAAACAGAAAATGATTTCTTATTCTTCAACATTGTTGCTACTCAACCTCAAACCTTACCTCTTCTGACTTCTCCTTAGTGACCACGACGTCCTGGTCCTCGACAACTTTCACCTTCTTTTTCTTCTCCTCCGTTGCCGCCGATACTTCTTTGGCCTTCTTCTCGAACTGTCGCCTTTGGGCAATCGCCTGCAACTATTGATAATACTACCAAAACAGGTAGGAGAGGACTGTTTTAAAACAGGAATTAAGAAAAGAGTAGAAAAATCGATATGGATCGATAAAAACAGATGTATAGTTGGTAACGAGCACGACATACTGCAAGAGAAGGCATCCTTGAGGACATCTAAGCAGTGCGAACAAGAAGTGCCCAATAATCCAAAAGGAGGACCCCGGCCAAGTATTATTTCCCTGAGGTAGCTTTGGCCCAAAATTTAGCCCCGTGGAATTTTTATCGCAAATAAAAAGGGTAATTAAGAAGTGGCTCTATACAAGTGGGGTGGGCACGCCCAGCTTTTCACGCATGTCAAGTGACTGCCCTCACCCCCACCCCCTAGATTGGCTACACTCCCCTGGCTCACGAATTCCCCGATTCTCGTGACAGTATAGTAGCGGGCAGCAGTCCCACTTACATACATTTCTGTTCAAAAAATGCGGCGTGCCCACCCTACTTGTATAGCACCTTGCGAAGGAGTAGCAATCGTGAAACAAACCGGATCCCCAGGAAAACTAAAAGTAATCTCCAAGTATCACCTCTGACAGTTTCTCGTCCAACTCGTTTGACTCGTCATTCGCGCGTGTGGGTTTGACCCTCGAAGGCGGGATCTCGATCTTCTGAAAATTGTTGCTGTTTATTTCATTGATAAACTTGATTTTTTAGCTAGTTTTAATGAATTTGTCAAATTCAATCATATTTGAAAGGCCGCGTGATCGATTGTGGCTCGAAAAGAAGTCTCATCAGTTAAGACAGAACTTAAAGGCAGCGGACTCCATAGCTGGAGGATGAAGCGGTTTTGATGATGACATAGGACGTCAGGGGACCAGACCCCTTAGCAGTATAGTATGAGGGCATATTTAATACTAGGGCCAAAATCGGTCGAAGATTTGTCGACGATTCGTCGAAGATTTTCGCCTGTTCATTTCAC